CAGCAAGAAAATGAAAGAGAAAATAGCTGAGGGGAGCAGGAAATGGGAATTACAAATCACAGCAGCTGAAGCTAAGATACAGAGCTTAGTAGAACAACTAAAGAGTCTGAAACAGCCTAAAGAACCAAAGGACAGTACAGCCATGACACCAAGAGCTACTATATCAGTCACCAATGAGGGGACAGTAGGGAACAAAGGAGATATACTGTATGCGATGACCCCATCGGACCCAAGGGGGGGCCTGGGAAAAGGCAGGGAGAACAGCAAGAACTAATGAGGGAACTAAAGTCAATGAAGGAGCTAAGCTATAACAAACAACTGCCATGTCCAGGAACAAATAAGCAGAGGGACACTGGATAGGGAAGAGACAGTAAGAAGCAATGCATCAATGGCAGGAACTAATTTGAATCAGAGGATGCTCAGGGAAGCACAGTGGGAGGATGAGAGGGAGAGGACCGTTTTTGTCTATGGGCTCCAAGAAGTAGATGGGGAAACTTACAAGGCAAGGGACAAAGAGACCTGGACAGGGTGGATGCGTGGTCCAGAAACTGGCTCCTAGAATTTAACCCCGCCAAATGCAAAGTCATGAAGATCGGAGGAGGGCAAAGAAGACCACAGACAGAGTATAGGCTAGGAAGCCAAAGGCTGCAAACTTCACTCAAGGAGAAAGATCTAGGAGTGAGTATAATACCGAGTACATCGCCAGAAGCACATATTAACCAGATAACTGCTGCGGCATATGGGCGCCTGGCAAACCTGAGAATAGCGTTCCAATACCTCAGTAAGGAATCGTTCAAGACTTTATACACTGTGTACGTAAGGCCCATACTGGAGTACACAGCACCAGTTTGGAACCCACACCTGGTCAAACAAGTCAAGAAATTAGAGAAAGTGCAAAGGTTTGCAACAAGGCTAGTTCCAGAGCTAAGGGGAATGTCCTATGAAGAAAGATTAAGGGAAATCGGTCTGACAACACTGGAGGACAGGAGGGTCAGGGGAGACATGATAACGACATACAAAATACTGCGTGGAATAGCCAAGGTAGACAGAGACAGGACGTTCCGGAGCTGGGACACAGAAACAAGGGGTTACAATTGGAAGCTGAAGACTCAGATGAGTCAAAGAGATGTTAGGAAGTATTTCTTCAGCCCTAGAGTAGTTAGGAAGTGTAATATTCTGGCAAGCGATGTAGTGGAAGCAGGAACTATACATAGTTTTAAGACGAGGTATGATAAAGCTCATGGAGCAGGGGGAGAGAGGACCTAGTAGTGGTCGGTGAAGAGGCGCGGCCAGGAGCTGAGTCTCAACCCCTACAACCACAATTAGATGACTACAATTAGGTGAGTACGCACACACACACACACACACACACACACACACACACACACACACACACACACAAGTTGAAGACTCAGATGAATCACAGGGATGTTAGGAAGTATTTGTTCAGTCACAGAGTTGTCAGGAAGTGGAATAGTCTGGGAAGTGATGTAGTAGAGGCAGGATCTATTCATAGCTTTAAGAAGAGGTATGATAAAGCTCCTGAAGAGGGAAGAGTGACTGAGTAGCGCCCAGTGAAGAGGCGGGGCCAGGAGCTGTGAATCGACCCCTCCAACCACAACTAGGTGAGTACATACACACACGTAGGATGGACATGATAACGACTTATAAAATACTGAGAGGAACTGACAAGGTGGACAGTGACCGCACAGTAGAGAAACACATACCCAGAGGGTACAGACACTATCTCTGAGCACATACCCAGAGGGTACAAACACTGTGTCTGAGCACATACCCAGAGGGTACAGACACTGTGTCTGAGCACATACCCAGAGGGTACAAATACTGTGTCTGAGCACATACCCAGAGGGTACAGACACTGTGTCTGAGCACATACCCAGAGGGTACAGACACTATCTCTGAGCACATACCCAGAGGGTACAAACACTGTGTCTGAGCACATACCCAGAGGGTACAGACACTGTGTCTGAGCACATACCCAGAGGGTACAGACACTGTGTCCGAGCACATACCCAGAGGGTACAGACACTATCTCTGAGCACATACCCAGATGGTACAAACACTGTGTCCGAGCACATACCCAGAGGGTACAGACACTGTGTCTGAGCACATACCCAGATGGTACAAACACTGTGTCCGAGCACATACCCAGAGGGTACAGACACTGTGTCTGAGCACATACCCAGAGGGTACAAACACTGTGTCTGAGCACATACCCAGAGGGTACAGACACTATCTCTGAGCACATACCCAGAGGGTACAGACACTGTGTCCGAGCACATACCCAGAGGGTACAGACACTGTGTCCGAGCACATACCCAGAGGGTACAGACACTATCTCTGAGCACATACCCAGATGGTACAAACACTGTGTCTGAGCACATACCCAGAGGGTACAGACACTGTGTCTGAGCACATACCCAGAGGGTACAAACACTGTGTCTGAGCACATACCCAGAGGGTACAGACACTGTGTCTGAGCACATACCCAGAGGGAAACAAACACTGTGTCTGAGCACATACCCAGAGGGTACAGACACTGTGTCTGAGCACATACCCAGAGGGTACAGACACTGTGTCCGAGCACATACCCAGAGGGTACAGACACTATCTCTGAGCACATACCCAGATGGTACAAACACTGTGTCCGAGCACATACCCAGAGGGTACAGACACTGTGTCTGAGCACATACCCAGATGGTACAAACACTGTGTCCGAGCACATACCCAGAGGGTACAGACACTGTGTCTGAGCACATACCCAGAGGGTACAAACACTGTGTCTGAGCACATACCCAGAGGGTACAGACACTATCTCTGAGCACATACCCAGAGGGTACAGACACTGTGTCCGAGCACATACCCAGAGGGTACAGACACTATCTCTGAGCACATACCCAGATGGTACAAACACTGTGTCCGAGCACATACCCAGAGGGTACAGACACTGTGTCTGAGCACATACCCAGAGGGTACAGACACTATCTCTGAGCACATACCCAGATGGTACAAACACTGTGTCCGAGCACATACCCAGAGGGTACAGACACTGTGTCTGAGCACATACCCAGAGGGTACAGACACTGTGTCTGAGCACATACCCAGAGGGTACAGACACTATCTCTGAGCACATACCCAGAGGGTACAGACACTATCTCTGAGCACATACCCAGAGGGTACAGACACTGTGTCTGAGCACATACCCAGAGGGTACAGACACTATCTCTGAGCACATACCCAGAGGGTACAGACACTGTGTCTGAGCACATACCCAGAGGGTACAGACACTGTGTCTGAGCACATACCCAGAGGGTACAGACACTGTGTCTGAGCACATACCCAGAGGGTACAGACACTGTGTCTGAGCACATACCCAGAGGGTACAGACACTGTGTCCGAGCACATACCCAGAGGGTACAGACACTGTGTCTGAGCACATACCCAGAGGGTACAGACACTGTGTCTGAGCACATACCCAGAGGGTACAGACACTGTGTCTGAGCACATACCCAGAGGGTACAGACACTGTGTCTGAGCACATACCCAGAGGGTACAGACACTGTGTCCGAGCACATACCCAGAGGGTACAGACACTGTGTCTGAGCACATACCCAGAGGGTACAGACACTGTGTCTGAGCACATACCCAGAGGGTACAGACACTGTGTCTGAGCACATACCCAGAGGGTACAAATACTGTGTCTGAGCACATACCCAGAGGGTACAGACACTGTGTCTGAGCACATACCCAGAGGGTACAGACACTATCTCTGAGCACATACCCAGAGGGTACAGACACTGTGTCTGAGCACATACCCAGAGGGTACAGACACTGTGTCTGAGCACATACCCAGAGGGTACAGACACTGTGTCTGAGCACATACCCAGAGGGTACAGACACTGTGTCTGAGCACATACCCAGAGGGTACAGACACTGTGTCCGAGCACATACCCAGAGGGTACAGACACTGTGTCCGAGCACATACCCAGAGGGTACAGACACTGTGTCTGAGCACATACCCAGAGGGTACAGACACTGTGTCTGAGCACATACCCAGAGGGTACAGACACTGTGTCTGAGCACATACCCAGAGGGTACAAATACTGTGTCTGAGCACATACCCAGAGGGTACAGACACTGTGTCTGAGCACATACCCAGAGGGTACAGACACTATCTCTGAGCACATACCCAGAGGGTACAGACACTATCTCTGAGCACATACCCAGAGGGTACAGACACTATCTCTGAGCACATACCCAGAGGGTACAGACACTATCTCTGAGCACATACCCAGATGGTACAAACACTGTGTCCGAGCACATACCCAGAGGGTACAAATACTGTGTCTGAGCACATACCCAGAGGGTACAGACACTATCTCTGAGCACATACCCAGATGGTACAAACACTGTGTCCGAGCACATACCCAGAGGGTACAAACACTGTGTCCGAGCACATACCCAGATGGTACAAACACTGTGTCCGAGCACATACCCAGAGGGTACAGACACTATCTCTGAGCACATACCCAGAGGGTACAGACACTATCTCTGAGCACATACCCAGAGGGTACAGACACTATCTCTGAGCACATACCCAGATGGTACAAACACTGTGTCCGAGCACATACCCAGAGGGTACAAATACTGTGTCTGAGCACATACCCAGAGGGTACGGATACTATGTCTAATGAACAAGAAAAACAGCACAAGAATAATGTGTCAAAAATGTGCAGCTGATTAAGATGAAAATCAGACATGAGCAACATTCGGGTATCTTGCTTGCAGACGTTTCGCCAACTAGTGGCTTTATCAATACAATACGTGGATATAATCTTAAGATTTAAGAAATTCATATATAGAAGACAAGAGAAGACGAGGTAATAAGTCCCTCTGCTTAGGAGTTCCTAGGTTCCTATATACAAAGTAATATGATAGTGAGGCAGCATACATTACTTTAGGATATGGTACAGACTTGCCTTACTCGGTGCGGGACAAGTAAGTTGATCTGGGATGGTCCTGTGTAGAGGTCAGAGATGAGTGTTGAGGCTGGCCAGTACTCTGTACAGTCTGGGTCAGAGGGCAGACAAGACTCCTTCACTGGCCACCATGAAGCTCCCTGGTCGATCGAGTATTCCAACTCCACCTCTGGTGAAGCAAGTCCACTGTCAAACAGTATATATATGTGTGTATACATATATATACATATACATATATATATATATATATTTATATATATATATATATATATATTATATATATATATATATATATATATATATATATATATATATATATATTTCAACAAGTCGGCCGTCTCCCACCGAGGCAGGGTGACCCAAAAAGAAAGAAAATCCCCAAAAAGAAAATACTTTCATCATCATTCAACACTTTCACCTCACTCACACATAATCACTGTTTTTGCAGACGTGCTCAGAACACAAGTTTAGAAGCATATACCTATAAAGATACACAACATATCCCTCCAAACTGCCAATATCCCGAACCCTTCCTTTAGAGTGCAGGCATTGTACTTCCCATTTCCAGGATTCAAGTCCGGCAATATAAAAATAACCGGTTTCCCTGAATCTCTTCACTAAATATTACCCTGCTCACACTCCAACAGCTCGTCAGGTCCCAAATACCATTCGTCTCCATTCACTCCTATCAAACACGCTCATGCACGCCTGCTGGAAGTCCAAGCCCCTAGCCCACAAAACTTCCTTTACTCCTTCCTTCCAACCTTTTCGAGGACGACCCCTACCCCTCCTTCCTTCTCCTACAGATTTTAAATGCTCTCCATGTCATTTTACTTTGATCCATTCTCTCTAAATGACCAAACCACCTCAACAACCCTTCTTCAGCCCTCTGACTAATACTTTTATTAACTCCACACCTCCTAATTTCCACACTCCGAATTTTCTGCATAATATTTTCACCACACATTGCCCTTAGACAGGACATCTCCACTGCCTCCAACCGTCTCCTCGCTGCTGCATTCACAACCCAAGCTTCACACCCATATAAGAGTGTTGGTGCTACTATACTTTCATACATTCCCTTCTTTGCCTCCATAGACAACGTTTTTTGACTCCACATATACCTCAATGCACCACTCACCTTTTTCCCCTCATCAATTCTATGATTAACCTCATCCCTCATAAATCCATCTGCCGACACGTCAACTCCCAAGTATCTGAAAACATTCACTTCTTCCATACTCGTCCTCCCCAATTTGATATCAAATTTTTCTTTATCTAAATCATTTGTTACCCTCATCACCTTACTCTTTTCTATGTTCACTTTCAACTTTCTACCTTTACACACACTCCCAAACTCATCCACTAACCTTTGCAATTTTTCTTTAGAATCTCCCATAAGCACAGTATCATCAGCAAAAAGTAACTGTGTCAATTCCCATTTTGTATTTGATTCCCCATAATTTAATCCCACCCCTCTCCCAAACACCCTAGCATTTACTTCTTTTACAACCCCATCTATAAATATATTAAACAACCATGGTGACATTACACATCCCTGTCTAAGACCTACTTTTACCGGGAAGTATTCTCCCTCTCTTCTACACACCCTTAACTGAGCCTCACTATCCTCATAAAAACTCTTTACAGCATTTAGTAACTTACCACCTATTCCATATACTTGCAACATCTGCCACATTGTTCCCCTATCCACTCTATCATATGCCTTTTCTAAATCCATAAATGCAATAAAAGCTTCCCTACCTTTATCTAAATACTGTTCACATATTGTTTCAAGTAAACCTTGTCTAACATCTCCTCCCCACTCAAAAAACCTCCTTGCTTCAGCTCCTACATTCTGTTTCCCTCAAATTCTTTAAATTTTATAACCCTGCCGCCTTTTTCCCTTTGGGTTTACTCAGTAAACTTATTCATCTATAATTTTTACAATCTCTTTTTCCCCTTCCCCTTTAATAAAGGGACTATAATGTCTCCCCCAATCCTAGGCCTTTCCTTTTTTACAATTTTTTAAAAAACAAAAGTACCCCCCACTCCAACACTATATCCCCCTGCTTTTAAATTTTGCCCTGACCCTCGTTCCAGCTGCTTTCCCCCTTTTCATTCTACGTAATGCCTAGTCCCCACCCATTTAATTTTGCTCTTCTTCACCCCTAAAAGATGGTTTACCCCCTGGCCGTGCATGAAATTACAGCCTCCCTTTCTTCCTCAAAATTTTAAAGTTCCCAAAATATTCTCGCCTCTACCTAATACCTCCCTCTCCCCTTACTAACCCCCCTACTCTGTTTTTAGCTGAAAAATCCATACGTTCCTGGCTTTTTTTAACTTGTTTAACTCCAAAATTTTTCTTTTTTTCAAAAAAATTTCTTGACGGCCTTCCCTTTCTATATTGCTTCCTTTTGCACTCTCTCACCACTCTCTTACCTTTCTTTTACTCTCCATATGTCTACTTTCTTATTCACTTCTGCTTTGTAAAAAACCTCCATAATTTTAACTTTTTCTTTTTGTCACCCCCTTTATTCATCATTCCCCCCAACCCCTTTTCCCCCTCCCCCCACCCTCCTAAAACCCACAAATTCTGCCCACTTTCTAAAAAGCATTTTTAAACTAACCCAAACCCTCTTCAACCCCCCCTCTCATCTTTGCACGCCCCCTTTTCCAATGGGCGTTTTTATCTCACCCGAACTTCCTCCTTTTTTATACAACATTTCCCTCCATTTGTTTTGCCCCCTTTCCCTCTTGTCCCATCTCCCTTTTTTACTCTAACTGTAGTAAACTAAAAAAATGATCCAAATTATCAGTTCCCCCTTAAAAACATGTACTCGGGAGCCTACCCATAACCTTTTTTCCACCAATCAAAATCTAACAAACTACTTCATTAATGAAATATCCCTTGTATATTTATTTATCCTCTTTTTATAAAATATTTTTAAATTATTCCCAAACTCTTTCTACACATAGCTCAATTAAACTCCCCTTTTTTCTTTCCCCGGGACCCCAAAAAAAAAAACCCCCCCCCCCCCCCCCAAAAATACTTCACATTTGGGTTAAAAAATCCCCGATTCACTAAATTTCCCAAAATCTCTCTCTCTCTTTACATTCTCTCTTTCCGGGTGCTATACGTTCTAAACCCATTTTCACATCCAACCTTTATTTTATCCAAAATCTTGAATTAATACATTTTTTTCCCTCTTTTTGCCTTCTTTCCTTTAAATTATTGTACTCCTTCTTTAGCTCTAACTCTTTTTAAAAAACCCCGGGCTAACCCGTTATTCCTCTCCCTAAAAACTTCCCCCCCCCTTCAGCTTTGTTTCCTTAAAACCGGACATCCGGGGGTCTTCTCATTCATAACATCCACAATCATCTCTTTCTTATCATTTGCACAACATCCACGCACTTTTCAGACTTCCCACTTTGACATTTTCTTCTTCTTATTTTTTTAGTAATCTTTACAGGAAAAGGGGTTACTAGCCCATTGTTCCCGGCATTTTAGTTGACTTTTACAACACGCATGGCTTACGGAGGAAAGATTCTTATTCCACTTCCCCATGGATATAAAAGGAAAAGTAATAAGACCAAGAACTATTAAGATAAAATCAAAGAAAACTCAGATGAGTGTGTATAAATAAACATGTACATGTATGTGTAGTGTGACCTAAGTGTAAGTAGAAGTAGCAAGACACACCTGTAATCTTGCATATTTATGAGACAGACAAAAGACACCAGCAATCCTACCATCATGTAAAACAATTACAGGCTTTTGTTTTACACTCACTTGGCAGGACGGTAGTACCTCCCTGGGTGGTTGCTGTCAACCAACCTATTATATATATATATATATATAGAGGCCTATTTGCAGTTTTACATTTATAGCTGTGTCTTATCCTCTAAAATAAACACTATTCAGCGGTATATATCAACTAAACGAGGACATTAGCACAACAACATATAAAATGAATGCTGTACACAGTATTTATTATAGTTTATTTTATTTTTTCTCGTCTCTTTGTACGTTTATTAATGCAGAAAACAGAAAAACTCAGCTTTTGTCTATTTTTCTGAATATTTTGTATATCATGATCAACTCTCCTCCCTGTATATGATATTGATAACATACCAAAGCAGGCGCCGGCGTCCTTACAGCCGAGCGAGACAGTGAACTGTATGAAGCTGTGGTCAGTCATGATGATGTCTGGTGTCTCAGCGAACCTGTAGCCCTCGCGACCTGCCGTCACAACAAACACACCTTGAAGGATCGTATTTTAATAATATTCTTTTATTATGTTTTTAGATGTCAATGTCACAAATTAATTTTAACCTCGAGGCGAGGTCAGACTTACTGGTAAAATGGAGTGAGTTGTGAGCGAGGCCACACACTTGCTCTAAGACTGAACCAGGGCGCAGGAGCCATCCTACACCCGTGTCGATGTCTGTAAAGGCAGGAATGCCTCTCACAGCACTTCCAATGTGGATCTGCAAGCATTATATTAATATTTTTGGGACGTTCTCTACACTACGTTTTCCTCTCAGTTTCTTATAGCAATTACCACTAGTGCATGACTAGTAACCAGATGTGTTTCAGCCGCTGCATGATCCAGGGAATTTATCCCTATATCGCATAACCCCAGTCCCCTCTACCTCGAAGTATGCGATAAGAATAGTGCAGGGTGCGGCGTAGGTTTGTAATGTAGTTAAATAATTGTGCTGAGATTTGAAGCAGATCAGAAAAAGCATTCACAAGTTATCACATGGAAACTAATATTCTAATTCATTCAAGACAATTAGTAACTTTGTAAATTATGCCACACACAGTCTAAAACAAATTCAAACATTCCATTAAGAAACATCAGCTTTGAAAGCTTAAAGCCAGACTGAGAAGTTAATCTCCTGTTATTTCAGAGGAAAATATATGCTAGATTATGCAAGTACATTAAGTTTAAAGCCTCTCGGAAGCCCCATTAACAAGTTATCAGTTTGATGAAGCATCCAGAAATTATCGCATAAAAACCAATAGTTAAATATTCGTTATTTCTACCATGAAAAAGTCAAACTGGGACCAACACAAACTTTTCCCAGAGTAACACTGACCAGCCTTTATAGTTTGTATAAAATATTAATAATTAGGAGAGGTAGTGATGATCATAAGAAACATTGTTCAGTTATTTTCACCTATTTCAGTTTTTTTTCCAAAAAACCGGCCGTATCCCACCGAGGCCGGGTGAGCCCACCGAGGCAGGGTGGCCCACCGAGGCAGGGTGGCCCACCGAGGCAGGGTGGCCCACCAAGGCAGGGTGGCCCACCAAGGCAGGGTGGCCCACCAAGGCAGGGTGGCCCACCGAGGCAGGGTGGCCCACCGAGGCAGGGTGACCCACCGAGGCAGGGTGGCCCACCAAGGCAGGGTGGCCCACCAAGGCAGGGTGGCCCACCGAGGCAGGGTGGCCACCGAGGCAGGGTGGCCCCGAGGCAGGGTGACCCCCCCGAGGCAGGGTGGCCCACCGAGGCAGAGTGGCCCACCGAGGCAGGGTGGCCCACCGAGGCAGGGTGGCCCACCGAGGCCGGGTGGCCCACCGAGGCCGGGTGGCCCACCGAGGCAGGGTGGCCCACCAAGGCAGAGTGGCCCACCAAGGAAGGGTGGCCCACCAAGGCAGGGTGGCCCACCAAGGCAGGGTGGCCCACCAAGGCAGGGTGGTCCACCAAGGCAGGGTGGCCCACCAAGGCAGGGTGGCCCACCAAGGCAGGGTGGTCACCAAGGCAGGGTGGCCCACCAAGGCAGGGTGCCCCACCAAGGCAGGGTGCCCCACCAAGGCAGGGTGGCCCACCGAGGCGGGGTGGCCCACCAAGGCAGGGTGGCCCACCGAGGCGGGGTGGCCCACCAAGGCAGGGTGGCCCACCCAAAGGCCGGGTGGCCCACCAAGGGAGGGTGGCCCCCCAAGGCAGAGTGGCCCCCACCAAGGCAGGGTGGCCCACCAAGGCAGGGTGGCCCACCAAGGCAGGGTGGCCCACCAAGGCAGGGTGGCCCACCAAGGCAGAGTGGCCCACCAAGGCAGGGTGGCCCACCAAGGCAGGGTGGCCCACCAAGGCAGGGTGGCCCACCAAGGCAGGGTGGCCCACCGAGGCGGGGTGGCCCACCAAGGCAGGGTGGCCCACCAAGGCAGGGTGGCCCACCAAGGCAGGGTGGCCCACCAAGGCAGAGTGGCCCACCAAGGCAGGGTGGCCCACCAAGGCAGGGTGGCCCACCAAGGCCGGGTGGCCCACCAAGGCAGAGTGGCCCACCAAGGCAGGGTGGCCCACCAAGGCAGGGTGGCCCACCAAGGCAGGGTGGCCCACCAAGGCAGGGTGGCCCACCAAGGGGAGGGTGGCCCACCAAGGGGAGGGTGGCCACGAAGGCAGGGTGGCCCACCAAGGCAGAGTGGCCCACCAAGGCAGGGTGGTCCACCAAGGCAGGGTGGCCCACCAAGGCAGAGTGGCCCACCAAAAGGGAGGGTGGTCCACCAAGGCAGGGTGGCCCCCCAAGGCAGAGTGGCCCACCAAGGCAGGGTGGCCCACCAAGGCAGAGTGGCCCACCGAGGCAGGGTGACCCACCAAGGCAGAGTGGGCCACCGAGGCAGGGTGGCCCACCAAGGCAGAGTGGCCCACCGAGGCAGGGTGGCCCACCGAGGCAGGGTGGCCCACCAAGGCAGGGTGGCCCACCAAGGCAGGGTGGCCCACCAAGGCAGGGTGGCCCACCAAGGCAGAGTGGCCCACCGAGGCAGGGTGGCCCACCGAGGCAGGGTGGCCCCCAAGGCAGGGTGGGCCCCCCAAGGCAGAGTGGCCCCCCCAAGGCAGGGTGGCCCACCGAGGCAGGGTGGCCCACCAAGGCAGAGTGGCCCACCGAGGCAGGGTGGCCCACCAAGGCAGAGTGGCCACTGAGGCAGGGTGGCCCCCCGAGGCAGGGTGGCCCACCGAGGGGGGTGGCCCACCAAGGCAGAGTGGCCCACCGAGGCAGGGTGGCCCACCCAAGGCAGGGTGGCCCACCAAGGCAGGGTGGCCCCCCAAGGCAGAGTGGCCACCGAGGGGAGGGTGGCCCACCAAGGCAGGGTGGCCCACCAAGGCAGAGTGGCCACCAAGGCAGGGTGGCCCACCAAGGCAGGGTGGCCCACCAAGGCAGGGTGGCCACCAAGCAGGGGGGCCACCCAAAGGGAGGGTGGCCCCCCGAGGCAGGGTGGCCCACCAAGGCAGGGTGGCCCACCAAGGCAGGGTGGCCCACCCCAGGCAGGGTGGCCCACCGAGGCAGGGTGGCCCACCGAGGAAGGGTGGCCCACCAAGGCAGAGTGGCCCACCGAGGAAGGGTGGCCCACCAAGGCAGGGTGGCCCACCGAGGAAGGGTGGCCCACCAAGGCAGGGTGGCCACCGAGGCGGGTGGCCCACCGAGGCAGGGTGGCCCCCCAAGGCAGGGTGGCCCACCGAGGCAGGGTGGCCCACCAAAGGGAGAGTGGCCCACCGAGGCAGGGTGGCCCATCGAGGGGAGGGTGGCCCACCAGGCAGAGTGGCCCACCGAGGAAGGGTGGAAACCCCCCAAGGCAGAGTGGCCCACCGAGGCAGGGTGGCCCACCAAGGCAGGGTGGCCCACCAAGGCAGGGTGGCCCACCGAGGCAGGGTGGCCCACCGAGGCAGGGTGGCCCACCGAGGAAGGGTGGCCCACCAAGGCAGAGTGGCCCACCGAGGAAGGGTGGCCCACCAAGGCAGGGTGGCCCACCGAGGAAGGGTGGCCCACCAAGGCAGGGTGGCCCACCAAGGCAGGGTGGCCCACCGAGGAAGGGTGGCCCACCAAGGCAGGGTGGCCCACCGAGGAAGGGTGGCCCACCAAGGGAGGGGTGGCCCACGAGGGGGGTGGCCACCAAAAGGGAGGGTGGCCCACCGGGCAGGGTGGCCCACCGAGGCAGGGTGGCCCACCAAGGCAGGGTGGCCCACCGAGGAAGGGTGGCCCACCAAGGCAGGGTGGCCCACCGAGGCAGGGTGGCCCACCAAGGCAGGGTGGCCCACCAAGGCAGGGTGGCCCAAAAAGAAAAACGAAAGTTTCTCTTTTAAAATTTAGTAATTTATACAGGAGAAGGTGTTACTAGCGCCTTGCTCCCGGCATTTTAGTCGCCTCTTACAAAACACATGGCTTACGGAGGAAGATAACAGAAAATAAACAAGAACAAGAACCAGTAAGACAACAAAAGGACACCCAGAGCTGTGTGTATGTATACATGCTTGTACATGTATGTGTAGTGTGACCTAAATGTATGAAGTAGCAAGACATACCTGTAATCTTGCATATTTATGAGACAGACAAAAGACACCAGCAATCCTACCATCATGTAAAACAATTACAGGTTTCCGTTTTACACTCACTTGGCAGGACGGTAGTACCTCCCTGGGTGGTTGCTGTCTATTTCAGTTATTGTCAATTATTTCATTTTGTCTAACAAATTGGCAATCAAGAGGAAGCTTCCTTTGAGGGAAACGCTTAAGCAATAAAAAGTTTGAAGCCGACCAAAAGATGCATTCCCCAGCTAATATACAGAATCCAACAACTTCAGTTTCCTTAATTTTCTTATTGATAAAACAAAAAATGTGCCCTTACACAGCCTACATGTGCCCCTACCCAGCTTACATGTGCCCCTACCCAGCTTACATGTGCACCTACACAACTTACATGTGCACCTACACAACTTACATGTGCACCTACACAGCCTACATGTGCCCCTACCCAGCTTACATGTGCCCCTACCCAGCTTACATGTGCACCTACACAACTTACATGTGCACCTACACAGCCTACATGTGCCCCTACCCAGCTTACATGTGCACCTACACAACCTACATGTGCACCTACACAGCCTACATGTGCACCAACACAGCCTACATGTGCCCCTACCCAGCCTACATGTGGACCTACACAACCTACATGTGCACCTACACAGCCTACATGTGTACCTACACAGCCTACATGTGCACCTACACAGCCTACATGTGCCCCTACCCATCTTACATGTACACCTACACAACCTACATGTGCACCTACACAGCCTACATGTGCACCCACACAGCCTACATGTGCACCTTCACAGCCTACAAGTGCACCTACACAGACTACATGTGCACCTTCACAGCCTACAAGTGCAACTACACAACCTACATGTGCACCTACACAGCCTACATGTGCACCTACACAGCCTACATGTGCACCTACACAGCCTACATGTGCCCCTACCCAGCTTACATGTACACCTACACAACCTACATGTGCACCTACACAGCCTACATGTGCACCCACACAGCCTACATGTGCACCTTCACAGCCTACAAGTGCACCTACACAGACTACATGTGCACCTTCACAGCCTACAAGTGCACCTACACAGACTACATGTGCACCTTCACAGCCTACATGTGCCCCTACCCAGCCTACGTGTACATCTACACAGCCTACATGTGCACCTTCA